TATCTGATAGAACCTTTGAGGTAGCTGTAAACGGAACCAGATCTTGCTCATACATTATTGAGAATGGTGTGCCTCGGGGTTCAGTTTTGAGTCCCACCTTAATTCTTCTAGCTATTAATGATATTTTTTCCTTTATCCAACAACCAGTTAAATGTGCTTTATATGCAGATGATCTTGTTCTCCTCTGCCATGGTAAGAATACAGCCAGCCACGTTACTTCAAAATGCTGTGAATAAGCTCAGCTACTGGGCTAGAAATATAGGTTTTAGTTTTTCAACATCCAAATCAAACGTTATGAAGTTCAGTAGAAGATACAATAGAATCTCAATCCCTCATATAAACCTCGATGGTGTTGTACTAAACACTGTTACTTGTAACAAATTTCTTGGCGTAATCTTTGGTAGTAAGCTTACTTTTAAGCGGTATATACAAGAAACTAAAGGTGTCTGTCTTAAACGCTGGAATATTTTAAAAATTTTAGCTCACTATTATTGGGGGGCGGAGGAAGAATCACTACTAAGAATTTATAGAGCATTATTTCGATCTAAATTAGATTATGGTAGCCCTGTTCTTATATCTGCATCCAAAACATATTTATGCACCCTCAACACTATTCATAACTCTGGCCTGCGACTGTGTCTTTTAGAACCAGCCCAGTGAATCCCACGAGCTTCCTTTACATTTCCGCTATCAACTTAATTTACTTTCTTATTGTACTAGAGTGTCTTTAAACTCTGATAATCCAGTATAAAAACTTCTTAATCATTCATTTAACTGTAATGCAAACTCTTTAAAAATTCCTTGACCTATTCTGCACATCTTAAAGCTTCTTTTAGATAATATCGACTTGTCTAACACCACTCCTATCTCTTTCTCTCGTACTCCTCCTTGGACTAAAAAATTACCTAATATAGACATTTCATAATCCAAATACAGTAAAGAAAATACTCCCAGTGTACTTTATAAACAATATTTTAGACAAATTATCAATACAAATGATTTCAGTTCAATTTTATTTACGGATACTTCCAAAAATGAAAATAGAGTAGGTGGCTCAGTAACAACCACTGAAGCATTACTGACAAAATTCAGACTCCCAATCAACTGCAGCATTGACTCAGGAGAACTTTTTAGTGTCTCATCAGCTCTGAAGTTACCAATTGATGAACGATGGCCATCTGCACTGATTCCCTATCATTAATTAAATATATCCAGGACATTTTTTCTCAACATCCACTAGTTCAAGATATTCATGAATCTCTTTAAACATTATTTAAAAATGAAATTTTTGTTTTAATTATTTAGGTCCCTTCACACGAGGATATTGAAGGCAATGAGAGCTTACCATTACGCCAAAAAAGCTATTACAAGTAATATACCTTTAGAAAACATTCAATTATTTAAAGACGTAATAGGCTCTTTTAAAAAATCAATTTGGAATAAGTGGTCAGAATTCTGGACAGGATCCAATACCAAATTATATGCAATCAAACCCGATGTCACTTCCTTTAAATTTCCAGCTAATAATAAAAAAAATAATGGCATCGGATAAGCCACCGTTCTGCCAATATTGCGACAATACCAATCTTACTATAAGTCACATACTGGTAGACTGTCCACAATATGCAGAAGCCCGCAAAAGCCATGGATTGTGAAACTCTTTGAAAGATATCCTTGGAGTCCCCGAACAGTACCCAAAACTGATTAACTTTCTGCAGCATACCAACCTGTATCATTTAATTTAATTTTTGAAAGTTGATATTATATATCTACTAAATTATAGTTTATTATATTTCATTGTATCGTGTCAATAACCATAGCTGTTGAAACACGTTAATTATTAAATAAAAAAAAAATACATTAAAAATCTTATTTCTAAACCAGTGTGGATCTTTATTGTGTACTTATGTCGTTTCACCTTTTTTTCCATGTCAAAATGCCCATTCTAAATTGTATTTTTCGAATTTTCACACTACTTAGAAACACTAAAGTTATTTTAGGGGGTGGTCAAACATCAAAACATAATTCTAAATCGTTATGGATCCTTATTATGCACTTATGTCGTTTGACCATGTTTTTTAAGTGGAAATAGGATTTCCAAATTTTATTTTTCGAATTTTCACACTACCTGGGAGCATTAAAATTATTTTACGGGGTGGTCAAACATAACTGTCATAGATCTTTACTGTGCACTCATGTCAACTGACCATTTTTTCCAAGTCGAAATTTATATCCTAATTATATTTTTCGAATTTTCACCCTACTTAAAAACATTAAAAATATTTTAAAGGTTGACCAAATGTAAAAACTTAATTCTAAAGCAGTGATAGATTTTTATTTTGCACTTGTCGTAAAAGCATTAAAAATTTTGTAGGGGGTAGTCAAACGTCCAAATATAATTTTAAACCTTCATGGATCTTTACTGTGTCCTTATTATGTCAGTTGAACATTTTAATCAACTAGGAATTGGAATGTTAATATTTTAGGGGGTGGTCAAACGGCTATACATAATTTTAAACGTTTTTAATTCCTATTGTGCCTTTCTGACCATTGATCATTTTTTCAAATTTAAAATTCATCCCATAACTCTTGTTTTTCTATAATTTACGCCTTTAAATTATTTTAAGGGGTGTTAAAAAATCTAAGGGGTGGTCAAACATGATCAAAAATTAGTTAATCTTATAGTGCAGTCAGTTTTAAAAAATATTAACATGGGGCCAGCGGGCACTCGGCCATTAATATTTTTTCCAATAAATAAATAAATGCATTACTCGAAATTAAATAATTTTCTAGGCCGAAGTATTGCGTTCACTTCGGTTAGCTTGGCGACAAAGCTGTCAATTTCTGTGTATGCAGTAAGAGAACTGCGACAAGCCTTTCCAACTTCTATTCTTGCTCTATAAATTCAAATTTCTTATTTTATGGACATTTTTTAAACTTACAATTTCATCAGTAAACGCGGTTCAACGAATTACCTGAACAAGCAAACGTACATGAATCGGAACTTTTATTGTAAATCAAATGGAAATAAACAATCACTTGTTTTTGAAGTGTCGTATCGGTCTGATCTCCACTCAAAATTTAAACGTGGTAAGTAATAAAATTATACTCTCAATGAAGATCGTCTTTTTATGTTATTGTTTTGTTTTTATAAATTATCATTTAAATTAGTACTTCTGTTTTATTTAAATATTTTGCCATCTAGCGAATGACCAGATTGCATAAATAGTATATTATATTATAAGTGCATCATTTTTACAAGCACTTTTTGCTAGTAAAAAAACACTTTTAGTACGTTTTGTTATTAGAGCTATTTTCGATCAATTCGTCATGCTCTTATTCTTTAAGTCCCTCTCTGTCTTGTTTGGGATTTTAAGGACCAACTGGTCAACCTCTGGTGCTACGCCTATGGACAGTCGTAGTGACATTCGCAGTGATGACAAATTTGGTAAATGCATATTCGGAAAATTGCCGAAGACACCAGTCTTATAAATGATGGGAGCAAGAATAATCTGGAGCATACACCAATTTTTATTTAAATGGGCTATGTTGCAGAGGAGGTCAGTCAGTTGAAGGCGGGACACACTGGAAGATAGACATTTTAATTGTTATAAGTGTGAAATATAAATTGTGGTTAAGTACAAATAAATTCATTAGTATTTAGTGTTCTATCTATCTATCTGAATTAGGGCGTGGTTCAAAGCCCACTTGTACTGAAGCTCTATGCTTATTGTACCCCTCATAGTTTCTATCCCATCAGATGATTTTCTTGATGAATTCAAGAATATGTCTGATGGGTGCTTTCGCGATTTCTTCAGGTTCCGGATATTGTACCCCGAAGTACCATTCCCGTTCCCATTTAAGATTCCGACAGTGGCATAGTATGTGAATAGTAGTTTCGTCCTCCTCTTCACATATTCTACATAGGGAGTCATCAGATATCCCTAAGAGATTTAGGTGTCTTCTAAGGCCGTAGTGTCCCGTAAGGAGTCCTATAACGGCCTTAAGTTCGCTTCTGCTAAGGTTTAGCAGTTGATGTTCTCGGCTCGTGGATGGCCCCTCTATAAATCTTTTGGACTGTCTAAGTTTAGGAAGTTCCATCCAGAGCCTATGGTGTTCTCTTTTTATTTGTTTCTTTAACACCCATTTAACATGTTGGTATGAGATACCACATGTGGGTTCTGGTCCAATAAGAGTTTTTTTGCTCCCTTCCTTGCTAGGAGGTCTGCTTTCTCGTTTCCAAACACTTCCTTATGTCCTGGCACCCATGCAAGGGTGACCTTGTTATGTTCTGCAAGGGCCTGGAGGGACTGTTGGCAATCAAATATTGATGTAGATTGTACTTCTACCCTTTGCAGTGCTTTAAGGGCTGCCTGACTGTCTGTCATAACGATCCTCTTATCTCTAAGAGTCATTTAGCATGACTTTGGCGCAGGCATTTATTGCTGTTACTTCAGCCTGGAAGACTATTGTCAGTGACCCCAGGTTCAAACTATAATTATTGTCCTCCCTGAGTTCACATGGTAGATCCCAGCTCCTGTGCTGTTTTTCATTTTCGAACCGTCTGTATACCAGATTGATTCGTTTTGTTTTTCCCTATTTTCCCGGCTTTTGGCCCATTCTGGTATTTGAATATCAAAAGGTTTCCTGAAGTCGTGAATAATGGGCGTTCTATCCGATGGCATTCTTAGTATTTAGTGTTAATAAATTATATTATTCTGTTCTAAATAAATAAATAAACGCTACATTAAATTAAATAAACACCTCAAATTTATTGTTACATTTTTTATTGAAGTAAACAGGACAACAATTTTAAAAACAACTAAAATATACTAATAAAGATAAAACTACAACTAGGGAGTAATGATTTTAATTTTGATATTTACAAAATAATTTTAACGTTTGAGAATCTAGAAATGATAGCATGTTTTATTGCACTGGAATTATTTTTAAATTCATACTAGAGTTGAAAAATGGATGGCATCACCTGAGATGCCCAGAACAGTTTATAATACTTTTATTAAACTGCAGTGTTACCAAAAATCGTTTTTAACTATACTACAGAAGAATATTTATACTAAATCCTAATATAAAAATTAGCAGCGAATATCACTTCTGAACATTTGTTCTTTGGTCCTAAATTAAATAAATGTCATATATACATTTACAAGACGAGCAATTAAGAAATTTAGATCAGAAAAAAATAAGTTTTTAAATTAAATCGAATCAAATTTTTAGTATGATTTTATTTCTGATCTTATTTCCAAACTGACCGACCTATAACAGTCTTTATCACGGCCTCTTTTCAAGGCTGCACTTCGCACACAAAGTACGTCTCAAAGGAACAAGGCGAATCGTTCCATTTAAGTCCTTTCCCATCTCTGTTCCACAATTCCATGCAGTTTTCTTGTTCTCCGTTTTCGTATTCGAAATTATTCGGTTCCCCTGCGTTCCAATTGGTAAACGTGATGGGACGTCCTGTAGACATCCAGAAGAACTTGCCTTCTTCTGCTAGATCAGTGCCGGAGGTCCAAAAGTGTTCGTGGCCGAAACCTAGAACAGAACGAATTGTTATTTAAATGTCGGGTTGCGTAATGGATGTAAGATAATTTGATGAGACTAATAAATGTTAACATAATCGTGGGAAAATGTAAGGAGATGAATACAGAGTGTCCCAGAAATACATTTTAAAATTTTAGCGACGTATTCTATAATCAAGGGTAATATACTGAGACCTTGATAAATGGTCGACTATTTTTATTGGGTTTCCATTTTGAGTATTTTTCGATATCAATTTGTCGAGACATTAATTTTGTCATTAATAATCTAAATATAGTCCGAGAACTTTAGCTCGATGACATAAATTTTGATTATTAATAACAAAACTATGGAGAGACAAATGCAAAATACATGAAAAATTTAGTAACAATAAAAATAGGCCCTAATTTATTAAGGTCGAGTAATATTTAATGAAATTATTTTTAGAGCCCTAAATGTAACTTAAATTAATGAATACACAATAAAATAACTTTTTAAGAAAATTTTTATTTTTGATTCACGAGTATATACAGGGTGTCCCAATAGTGCGTGGAAGTTCGATATATCCTATATTATAAAAAATATCAAACAATGTTATTTGCAAAAGTTGTAGATAATATTAATCTGCACATTTCAAAATTATTTTCGATTATACAGAGTGATCCATAACTTCAGAATTGGTCAAACCTATGTTTTTTTAAATGGACCATCCTGTATTTAATTGTAAATTTGAATTCCCCTGATTTTGCCCTTCAAGAAAATACCAACTTATATAAGGTTATACTGGGTATTTTGGAAATTTAAACCAATTTTATATGAAAATCGTAGTAGGTTCAACCCTCTGTATATTTTAAAAGAAATAATCGAACATCAAAATTTTTTTATGAATCATTTTTATTGATAGTCTACTTTTATAAGAATATTCTAATTTTTCCCTAGCGCAACAAACGTGTATAGGGTGAGTCAAAACTCAGATACATGATTTTCTCAATTTTTTTAAATGTATTTCATATCACTACTAAAAAGTACTCTAATTATACGTTCGTTTGAGTTAAATATTGCTTATCCCTACACACAACAGTTTAGCGAGATTCTTAGATGAAATGTTAAAAGGGGTTAATTATAAATAAATTCACAATGTAATTTGGTTTAAACTCCTGTTAAATATTACATACTAGTTACTAGTTAATCAGTTTATATTTTTAAGGTAGGTACCTGGTACAATTTTTTATCAACTGAATTTATTTTTTGGGACCTTTACAACTTTTTATATAAAATGCAATGAAAACGCTAACAGAATTTTAAAATTTTTTTTGTACATTAGGTCAAGTGGGCTTTGAAATTCATGTCAAAAGAATAATTTGACAGTTCCGAATTGTTTAAATAAAAAAATAAAATTACGTGTTTAAATTTATTGATTTGACTAATTTAAAAATAAATTTTGAAACGAATGAATTGACTGATATGATTTTAGTGCTAGGGGCTAGTGATGAAAATTGCTTGTTGACAACTAGAATTTATAAGCAAAAATATCCAGATCGCCGACAACCTCGTAAAAAATTTTTGAAAATCTGTTGGAAAGATTCAAACGTAGCATATCAAAAAAATGATAGAAAAAAACGAACTTTAAATAAACAAAATAAACTAAGTATTCTACTTAGTGTTACCGAAAATCCAAACACCAGTATACGCATTATGGAAAATGAAACGGGAATAAGTAAATCATCTGTCATTAGGATACTATTAAAAAATAAAGTACATCCATACCATATCCAACGTCATCAGGAGCTTCTTGAAAACGATTTTCAAAAAAGAATAGCTTTTTGTGAATGGGCAATAGAGAGCATTAATAATGAAAATGATTTTTTTGATTGTGTACTTTTTGGGGATGAATCAACATTTCACAAAAACGGTTTCGTCAATAGACACAATTTTCATTACTATTCCACCACTAATTCTTATGAGTTAATGACACATATCCAAACACGATGGTCTATTAACGTTTGGGGTAGTATATTAGGGGACTATGTCATAGAACCACTTTTCTTTCATGGTCGTGTAACTGCCGAGGTCTACTTAGACTTTCTGCAAAATCATCTACCATTACTATTGGAAAATGTTCCACTAAATATAAGACGCCGAATATGGATATTACATGATGGAGCACCTGTACATCATGCTCAACCAGTTCGCAACTTTCTGAACCATAATTTTGAAAATAGGTGGATTGGAAGAGATGGTCCAGTTATGTGGCCTCCCAGGTCTCCTGACCTCACTAAAGTAGATTTTTTTATGGGGTTTCGTAAAAAACGAGGTTTATACAACTAATCCATTAACCAGCGAGGAAATAAAGGAAAGAATAAGACAAGTGTTCGCGAGCATAGATGTACAATGTTTGAAAAACGTTCAAAGATCATTTGAAGCTAGATTACAACATTGTATTGCAGTTGGAGGGAGTCACTTTGAGCAGCTTTTATAATAGCTTTTTTTTCATTTTTTAATATACTAATGTTGCATTCTAAAAAAAATTAAAATAACTTATTTTTGGCTCATATTTTTTTCATTCAAATATAAAATATCTTCTAAACTGTTTAGGGATAGGGCCAAATGAACGTATAATTAAAGTACTTTTAGTAGAGATATGAAAAACAGGGTGAACCTAACCTTAAAAGTAAAGAAAGTAAATTCACTTGATAATAAATTATATCTAGGTACCTTAAAAATATAAACTGATTAAACAGTATATTTTAACAGTAGTTTAAATCAAATTGCATTGTGAATTTAGTTATAATTAACCCCTTTTAACATTTCATCTAAGAATCTCGCTAAACTGTTGTGTTTAGGGATAGGCAATATTTGCCTCAAACGAACGTATAATTAGAGTACTTTTTTTGTAGTGATATGAAATACAGGGTGTTATATTTAAAAAAATTGAGAAAATCATGTATCTGAGTTTTGACTCACCCTGTACACGTTTGTTGCGCTAGGAAAAAAATAGTATTTTCTTATAAAAGTAGACTAACATTAAAAATTATTCTTCAAAAAATTTTGATGTTCAATTGTCTCTTTTAAAATATACAGAGGGTTGAACCTAGTACGATTTTCATATAAAATTGGTTTAAACTTCCAAAATACCCAGTATAACCTCATACATGTTGGTATATTCTTGAAGGGCAAAGTCAGGAGAATTCAAATTTATAATTAAATACAGGGTGGTCCATTTAAAAAAAAAACATAGGTTTGATCAATTCTGATGTTATGGATCGAAAATAATTTTGAAATGTGCAGATTAATATTATCTACAACTTTTGTTGATAATATTGTTTGATATTTTTTATAATATAGGATATATCGAACTTCCACACATTATTGGGACACCCTGTAGAGTGGACAATTTTATGATTGTTTATATCAAAGAGTTTCCACCAAAATGTATAAAATTAAGATGCCGCTCGTGTACTAGAAGTGAAATATCCAATGATAATATAGTCATATAGATTGCTCATCCATATGTAAATCAGACAACGGAAAGCGAGACGCCACTAAAAGGCATTAGTGCACGCAGGCAACCAGTAAAGCAGTTTTGCTAATGGCATTGTCAGGTGATGCGCAAAAGTTGGCGAAACAAGTCGTCAAACTCAAATAGAAAAGTGAAGCAAGATTACTTTCCAGCACAAAAAAAATAGGTTTTCACTATGGCTTTTTTATTAGCTTTTATTTCTAATGTATTTTTTATTTATTATATTTTTTTAAGCACTTTTGAATAACCCATAACCCTAGCAAGTTTCTTGCAATTTTTTCTTACTAGGTGTAATCGAAATTGCGTATTTATTTATCACAATTTTGTTTCTTTTTCTGACTTGTATACACTATTGTGACCATATGTACAGCATTTCGCTGTATTGTACATTTTTAAAGTCTATCCAGTATTTGATTTTATACAGCAATTGTATTTGTCCAGCAAAACGCCATTATTATCCAGCAATGTAATACATAATTTACTGAAACGTAACAAATAAGACAAAACGTAACATATGGCTTCTCTGTTGTTGTATTTGTCTCTGGGGTGCTAAAAAAAGGTCATCCTCTACATGAGTTCTCTGTTTTGTATTTTTATCTTTAGGTAACTAGAAAAAGAGGTTCTTAGCCCTCCAAAATTCATCAATGTATTCGTGTTCAAGGTCCAGCATTGGGTTAAAATAAATAATGTTACGCAGCACCCTGAAGCGTGATGCGGACGTCATAGGTAATGAAGAAGATAGAATAATCTAGAAATGTCTCGAAATGTCATTCCTTGTCAAAGAAAAATCCAGATTGTTCAAGAAGGTTCTAGAAGGTTGAGGCAAGCTATATAAGTCCACGACCTGACGTCAGAGTTCAGTTTTATGATAGACGTTATACGTTAATGTTATCAGTTGTATTGTTATTGTTAAAGTTGAGTTGCAATAAATTGAGATAGCAAAAACCTGCGTAACATTGGTGACTGCGGTGGGATACAAAGTAGAAGTTCATGGTAAATACTAGATCAACCGAGTACAACGTAGGCATGAATACTTAAGGCCCACCAGCATGTTTTTTGAAGATGGAGGAGGAAAAGGAAAGGCGTAGGAAGGAAGAGGAGGAGGAAAAGGAAAGGCGTAGGAAGGAGAAGGAAGGAAAAGGAAAGGCGTAAAAAGGAAGAAGAGGAGGAAAAGGAGAGGCGTAGGAAGGAAGGATAGGAGGAAAAAGAAAGGCGTAGGAAGGAGGATGAGGAGGAAAATGAAAGGCGTACGAAGGAAGAAGAGGGGGAAAAGGAAAGGCGTAGGAAGGACGAGGATAAAGAGAATGAAGAAGGGCATTAAAAAGCTCAGGTAGAAATTATGAATGCTTTGCTACAAATCCAGGAAACCTTTAAGCAAGAGTAGTCAGCTCAAAATTAGAGTAGATCTTTTAGAACAACAACAAGAGCATTTAACAACTAACTTATTTATTACTATTAAAAACTTCCCATAAAGATATATTTTCTTTCTACTCAC